TGCTTTAACATCAAATGTTTCCCCATATATCAACCAAATCTCTAATAATGGGTGAATATTGTACAATTCAATTCAATTCTGACACTAGAAACCTGGAATCACCACAGACCCCACAGTCCCACAGGCTGCATACATTTTACAGATCAACTACAAGGACTGATCGACCAGGTTACTCAGATTTCTGCATGACTTGGCTCCAACTTGGGAGTGCTAGCAAATTAAAAGTTTTGATTATCTGCGAGAATGGTTCATGGTATTCAAGGAAACACTTCCTTGCACTCACCAGTGAATTATGAAGGGTATGATAAAGATGAACAACTTACATGAAGAGGCTTTACAGGAACAGGTTTGGAAAGGCCCCAAGATCAGAAGTGTCTGTCCATGTGTAGTGAGGAAAGCTACCCTCCTCGAAAATTATAAGTTCACTGACAAAGAAGCTACCTCAACTTCTGGAATTTCTATAGCCTTCATCACACAAGCATGACCAAGTCAATTCCATTCAATTTCCCATCTAAGAGATTGGAAAATGGAGCTGAATATCCAAGCCTTCTAATCACAGCTTGGTCTTTTCAATAACCCCCATCCAGACACTCATCATGGGTCACCTCATTAGGATAAAAGGTACTGGTACTGATGAGGATATTTCACAGAGATTAGGAGCTGTGGGTTAGGAACTAGAGTCAAAGAGAAAATAATATATAAGCAAAAGATGTTTCTCTACCCTTATTACTCATCACTTTTTAAATTATAAGGGTGTCAGGAGCACTATGTCAGATGAGATCTTGGATATATATATATATTTCTCTCTCTCTCTCTTTGCATTTGTGCAATATCATTAGTCTAAACGACAGCAGTGAAATACCATTTAATCTTTTCAAAAACAACATGATTGAAAATTTACTACTGGGACCAGAAAGATGCATCAGCAGTTAAGAGCACTTGTTGTTCTTCCAGGCAACCCGAGTTCAGTTCCAAGCACTCACATCAGGGAGCTCACAACCACCTGCTAACATCATTTGCAAGGTGTCCAACATCCTCTTCTGGATTCCATGGGGCACGGGCATAGGTAGCATTCACTAATAGAGACACACATAAATTAACATAATAAAAATAAATCTTAAAGATGTAAAAGTTACTAAATTGCTATTTAATGTAAAATATTAATAAAAGAAAAACTTCAGCCAAGTCACCTGGATAGCATTCCTAACCCTAATAAACTCATTGTGAGGAAGAAAAGAAAGTTTTATACTAGGAATTCCAAGAGTACCACTCTAGCCCTTACTCTGTCAAGAGAAGGAAAAAACAATCATAAGTTCACAGTTGACCCTCGTTGTTTAAGAAAATAGTATTTGGGTGTGACCTCCAGAGTGGTTCTACCAAAGTCTGAGCTGTAAAGGTACTCACAAAGGACACCCAATGAATGGGATTTAAGTAATGCAAGGACAGCATGTTATCATAAGTCTTCTGTTTACCTTTGAAGTGCTTTTTAAGTACATCTAATCCTTTGTTAGACTTCCAAGACACATTTTAAAGAAAGTACCATTTGGGAATGAAGTAATGGCAAAACTAATGGAACCATAGTTGCCGTCTGCAATCAACACAGAGAAGTACTCGGCAAGGTTCAGGAAAAATAAAAAGAATCACTCACTCAGCCTGCCACTAAATAAGCCCTTTAGAGCAATGATCTTTCCCTGTCTTGACAAAATCTTTCTTTCTGTACGTGAGGAATTTTGCTCCATGTTCCATAAGGCCTGCAGTTCTGATACTCCATGGTGTACGGTCATCATGGATGTGCAGTTCACCTATAACCATCTTTAAACTCCTCATGGCCGCCATTCTAGAACAGTTCCCTAATGCATAGCATGTTTTAATTTCAAACACTGAGATGCTTAATTCTATTCCTCCATGTAACGGCATGGATATACATTTATACAGAAACACTGCTTCTCTTCCCATTAAATGCTCTTTACTACAACGGTCTGGGATAGCAAGAGAGCTACTTCAACCTAAGCTTGTTTGAATTTTTAATCTATCATTATTTTTATACTTCATGTACTTTTTGTTGCTGTTAGACTAACTAATGCTTGAAACATGACATTCACTTTCAGCAATCCTGTAATTGCTCATCCCTAACATTCTTGCATCTTGAATTCAATGTCCTTCCCAGAACACAGGCTGCAGAGAGATAACCTCTGTGCTGTGTGGGCTTCCCTGACGCTAAAAGGCAAGAGGTATTATGATGACATTCCTGTTTTGATCTGTTTTAATCTCGGAAGAAATCTGCATTGTGAGGTACATGGCAATATAGAGAACACACTGAGGTGTTTCCTTCATACACTGGCGAGTACTATGTGCTTATCTGTTCTAAAAGATTAGGAAATCTCTAGAGCAAGGACATATTAACACATATCCTTATATTTCCAACATCTAATCTATGTCATGTTAAGACATGAATGGATGAATAGGTAAACTGAGCCACATTGTCCAAATAGGCACAAGGATAAATAAACAGAACTAACATTTGGAAATCTGAAGGTTTGGGGGGCGGTATTTCCTTGAAAAGAGGAGGAGGAAATGCTTCCTCAGCATCTATTGTCAGGTGTCAGACACTTTGAATCATTATGTGGATGGAGCTCCCTGGGACCCCTTGATGTGCAGACATTGCACACATGCATCATTTTCCCCAGATTCATGAGTCAAAGTATTTTACAAAGGTGATTCAGAGACAGATTGGGGAAAACACATATCACACACTTGATGAGTGAGGAATCACAGACCTAGTACCCTACTCTAGATGGTCAGGTGACTCACGAGGTCTTGGATTTGAAATTTGCTTTGGCTTAGAAATAGAAGACATCAAAGTTAGATATGAAAGTCTACTCTTCCAGGACTTCTCAAGCACCTTTTAATTACAGCACAACACAGTCTACAGCAGACACCCTCTTCTCTTGGCACATATTTTAATATTTAAAGTGTGTGATTATTGTTCTCACAGCATATAATTATGTTAGCCAATAAATACTAACACATCTAATTCAGTTCCACCAGAGTGAAGATAATTCAGAAGGATGAGTTATAGCTCCTAATTAACTCTTGCTTTCCTAAATTAGAATAATTTAAACGACTAGAAAGGATGAACCTTAGTCGATTTCTGAATGTCAGAAGCACACTGAAAATACATTTTATACTAATGTGAACTTATTTAACTTAAAGTTCATCCTAATTATTTTTTAATCTCATGTTTTGCCTTTTGTGGGAAAAGCATTCTTAGGGGCTGATATCACTTATATGATCAATTTTATATTTTTTTCCACAATATTAAAAATAAATAAAGCCTGAAGTCCCCTTGCTTTCCTAAATTAGAATAATTTAAACGACTAGAAAGGATGAACCTTAGTCGATTTCTGAATGTCAGAAGCACACTGAAAATACATTTTATACTAATGTGAACTTATTTAACTTAAAGTTCATCCTAATTATTTTTTAATCTCATGTTTTGCCTTTTGTGGGAAAAGCATTCTTAGGGGCTGATATCACTTATATGATCAATTTTATATTTTTTTCCACAATATTAAAAATAAATAAAGCCTGAAGTCCCTAATCCGGTTTTAGAACTTAAGATCTAGCACAGGTCTAAACAGAAGATCCTGCTGTACTCACACTGGAGTTTCTTGGCCACTTATTGGTTTTCCTATCCATGAAATAAGCTTACTACTTGTGTCTCAGAGGTGAGCTGTCTACACCTCACTTAAGTGAGAAGATAGGAGAAAGTGCTTCACAATCTCTAAACTGCTGTCCACATGCCAGTGATTATGAGCTTGTGTGCCCAGTAAGACTGTTCAAACAGTATCATCATTGCAGAATAAACCCATTAACATGGAGTGGTTTATATGGAAGGCATGTGTAGACACAGACCTAACGAATGAAAGTTATACCAAGAAGAAACCTTGCAGCACAGTCTTCTCCACATACATTAGGTTATAAGCTGTGAGAGGCAGAAAGTGGCTGGGTCTAGTGCCAGTGAGGGGTCTTGCTCTCCCCAGAAACTAGTCAGGAGGCATTTGTTGGGTTGGTTGGAATTATACACTGCTGAGATCAGGTAATAATAAAGCATTATATGCTAGAGAACACTTCTGGGAGATGAGCCCACTGCTCTGCATCTTTCCAGAGTTGGTCTTGTTCGCTACACTTCTTTTCAGAATGAAATTTTTCTTCCCCCGCTTGAGGCCCTTCAAGAATTCTCCACCCTCTGTAAATGACAAGCTAAAAATGACAGGCATAGAAACTTGTCCACAACATCAAAGTTACACCAAGACATTGGTGGTTCCCTCCAGTGCCCCAGAACTTGCAGTTTTCTAAATACAGTGTGGACCGTCCTGGCCAGAGTCTCAGGCTGTGCTCTCCATTGTCTCCAGCAACAGAATTCCATCCATTTTTCTGGCTGAATTCATACGTAGTCTGAGAAGAATTTCCAGATTCTCAACAATATACCACTCTACCACTCCCTTCCTATGCCTCAACCATATCAGCCAGATTGTCTTATATAATATCAAAAACTATCCAAACATGGCCACTGAGTCTTAGGATTCTCCTAACCATCTAGCTAACTAGCACATGCTGATATCAAATAAAAAGACACCTTGTACCTAGTGTGGTGGCACATGCCTATAACCAGAGCACTTGGGAGATAGAGGCAGGAGGATTATGAGTTCAAGCCTAGCTCAGGCTACCTGGTGAGACTTAATCAAAACAATGAGAGAGGGAGGGAGGGAGGGAGGGAAGGAGGGAAGGAGGGAAGGAGGGATTCCAAGGGAGGGAAGAAGGGAGGGAGGGAGGGAGGGAGGGAAGGAGGGAAGGAGGGAAGGAGGGAAAGGGGCACCTTAGGCCACTGACTCCAAGAAGAGAAAAGAACAATCAAAGGACTCTAAGAAGCATCTTGATTTTCCAGAGTGCGTTATCTGTGGCTGGCCACGTGGATCGATTCTATGGGTAGCACCAACCTGCTGGGGCCGAGGCTTGTAGGGGGAACTGCACTCCAGGTCAGCTAAGATACTGGTCAAGGAGTCGATCTCGGCATCCAGGCTGGAGCGTCTCTCTTCCAGGGTCTTGCCTCCGGGATTTCCTTGCTAAAAAACAACATGCATGTTAAAAACTAAATACATTTCTATGGATGACATTATGAGTTCAAGTTTCTCATGCTATAATTTTCTCTTTTCCACATTTTCCTGCATGTCATTTTTTAAAGCTTTTGTCAAATCATAATGAGGTAGGTAGGAAGAGAGTTAGCGCTTTTTGACAGATAAGAAAACAGAATAACTTGAAGTGCTTTTTTTCTGAACTCATATATTTGTTTAGACAATTATGATGAATATATAAGGAAAAGAAATCAATGTTCTCATCCCTGCACTTCAGCAGCAGAACCTCCTGAGGCACTTGCATTCAGAAACCACTGGACAGAAGATGGTGCTATGCTGGAGCAGCACTGGGTAAGGAAAGGAAACTGAGTTCTAAAAGAAACATCAGCACTTGGCACCATGAAGCATGAAAGTGCTTGAGAGCCTGGAGTCAGTGGTTTTGAGATACCGATGTGTGAGAGAGGCCCAAGTAAGGCATGGAAAACATGAAGTAGAAGGAGGCCACCCAGGGTTCTAGTCAGGGAGCCCCAAAGGAAGCAGGTATGGTGAGTGTGGGTGAGGAAGCTGGAAAACTATGACTCCTTATGCCAATGCTCCCTGCTACCTACACTCAGAAATAATGAGAGGAGAGAGAAATAGCATGGCCATAGGCCATTTCCAGGAACTCTGAGCAGATGGGAAAACAAGCAAACAGTTTGCCTACAGCTCAAAACAAGGAGATGTATACAAGGCCCTAGTATTAGAAAAGTGAGGCATTAAATGGTACAAACTTTGAAGCTAATCTGTCCTTTTAGAGAGCATGTGCAGTCACACATAAAGCAGGATGATATAACCTATTAGCACCAGAAGTTCCTTATTAGTACTTTGCCTACTTTTCCTGAGTTTTAGAACTTATTTAATGTTGTCTGTGCTCAGGCAACATTAATCAGGTCTGATGTACTGATCAGCCCTATGTAAATTCAGCCGAAATGAGTTAAGTCCCCATGTGCCTGGATCTACACCAGACACACTGATGATATCAGTTACCTATGAAGCTGTGGCTCAGCCCCCTAAGGGGCAAACCTACATCACTACTTTCTTCCGTGTTTGTGAGCCCTCTTTAAACATGGGTACCTTTCGTCAAGTCATCTAGTTTCATGATTTTCTCACTTTGGATACTCTGCTATGAACACACCACGTTATTCTGTTCCCCTCAACCTGTTCTATTTGCTTTTCTAATCATAACGATCATAATCTCAGTCCTGGATTTTATGAGAAGGATGGTCCTTCTCATGCCTAGAATAATGTTTCATGAAGGTAAGGATACTTGTGGTCCCTCTGTTTCCCCTCAGTCTTGCTCAGGGCCAGACTTATGGTAAGTGTTCCATAGGCATTTAAAAAATTATTAATGAATAATGACTCTGTAATAATAGTGAACAATAATGCTCATGATCTTTTTCATATCAACCTCTTTTGGATGAGGTAACAATGATGTAGAACAGAAAGCAGTGAATGCACTAATGTAGAGCCTAAAGTGGAAATCAAAAGGGTTCAGTGCATGTGTATGTGTGTATGTGCATCCAAAATGTGCATGTGGGCATCAGGCTGGGTAGCCCAGATTTTAAGGTTGTGTTTGTGAAACTGAAAGATTCCCCTCAGAACCCTTCCTAAGCCTAAATTGGAAAGATGGCTGTGTGATTGGTAGGATGTGCTTTTCTCAGAATCTGAGTTTCCAGTGTTACTAAATTTTACTTTATTTTGTGTAATTTATTGTTGTGTATTTGTGCGAGATAGAAAGAGATATATACACGAGACAAATGTGTGTGGGTGCATGCGGGCCCTGGCATGCAAGTTGAGATCAGAGGATAACCTTGTAGAGTTGGTTCTCTTTTCCCACTGTTTTTGAGTTATGTGGATTGAACCCAGGTCATAAGGCTTGCAAGGCAAAAACTTTTACCTACTAAACCATCTTGCCAGCTCTATCACTAAACTTTTAAGGATATTAATTTTTGTTTAGATGCTTTCAAGATGATAAGTCTATCAGAGGAGATTTCATCTTTACTCTCAAATAAATTAATATCAACAACTAAAATTATAATGAGTTGTTTAACTTTTGAAATGCCTGGAGAGCAGTTTGAGTGACAGGTAATGGTACCACACAGAAAAGCTTTGTAGAACCAAGTGAACTATACTTTCTTATATGTGGACCTAGAAATTACTGTGAGCAGAAATGTAAGTGCATTTATATATACTTATAGATGGCACAGTAAATCAGCAAGGACATTACAGTGGAGCCTTTTAAATTCTTCCTTATGCCATAGTTTCTTCATCTGGAAAGTGAAAAGAACACCTCCCACCCTACCCCAGCCAGAAGAATGTTACAAAATTCAGATAAGAAACTGGATGGGAACATACTTTGTAAATTGTAAAGTGCTATAATTATGATGATTTTCATAAATAGCATTAATTACAGCAACCAGTAACTATAAATTAATAGTTATAATATCGCTATTGTTAATTATTCTTCTTCTTGAGGTAAGCATCACTCATTAAGTGTTCCCTTAGGGTACCAGCAAGAGACAGGATATAATCAGGTCTTCAACTTCTACACTTTACTGAAACAGAAAGCACACCAACGGCCTATGCCCTAAGTCGCTGAGATTTCTAACCACAGAGACTCGAGAGTCACAATTTATCCTGAGCTATACAATGAAACAAGCAATTATGGAGTGCAACCAGCCCAAGCTTGTGAGACTTCAACTGACTCCCAGCCTTCTACTCTCTCCCTCTAAAATGCTCCTTGTTTCCAGTTTCTCAGATTAGGCTGGTGCAATTTATTAAGTTCTGACCATATTGTGGGGATTTTACAGCTGCCTCATGACCTTATGATAATGGCTTTGTGTCCACATCTTAATCCCCATGATGAACAATTGGACTTTTTCTCCCTCCCAAGTGTCTCTTTTATATCTTGGTTCAAGACCTGAAGTTTTGCCCAAATTCTCACAGAAACCCTTTGGTCAATACTGTCATCTACTCTGGAATCATGAACTATCTTGCTATTCAAAACCAGCCCTATAACCAGTCAACACAACCCCACAGTCTTACCAGGATGTCTCTTACTACCACACTCTCAGTGTAGTTCTGCCTATCATCTGATGGTTAAATAGCTTGCCAGAGGCCAGGTAACAACTAGAAAGAGTCTCCTGACTCTTTGCCTAACGTTTGTTCTAGATATCACAAACTCTAATCAAGAGGTCATTATAGTAGTAACAATTCTCATACTCTGAAGTCATAACTAAAAGGCTCCAATTTTCTTAATATGATTTCTATGAGAAACAATGCCTGTGACATAAAGCTTGCATGTGGGTCATTTATTAGGGGACTCAATCCTCAGCAATGGTGCTGAGGGAAAACAAAACCTGTGCACAGGAGAGACAGACAATTCAAAAGGTTAGGCTGAGCTTGTCAGCAATATGGGCAATGTTGATTCCATCCTCTTTGGATCCTGCTGATGAATTCTGTAAAATATTCCTCAGGTTTTCGTACCTGAAGGAAGGAAGATAAGCTAGCTGTTCTCAAGCTCCTGTTTGCTACTGGTTTTATAATTGGTATGGAATTTTAAACTTCCCCATGCCTGCCCCAAGAAAGTGAGGGCAAAGACTGCAGCTAAAGAGGCATGCCACCAGGTCATACCCACGCAGAGCTGGTCACTGTAGCAATGTCTTGGACACAAAATGAGGTGGGACGATGAGGACTGGGGTTCAAAAAGTATACTAAGTCTGCAGTCCCAAAGACTAAACCATACAGAAGATACTATTTGCCGTAAGACAAATCTCATTCCTACCACAAATACAGATGTATAAAAAGCTCAACAAACTACATTTGATGCTTAATATGAAATTTTAAAAAATCACGATTGTCAGCACCACTAGCACAATTACAAGAAGGTTAACCCACACATAAGTCCATGAGACTAGAATACAAAACATAGGCCTCAAACTGAAATTCATAGCATGTGAGAGGAAGTCAGACCATACCAAAAGGCAGACTGAGATGACTGTACTTTATCCC